CATTGTGACTATACTAAAAACCCTTTTAAATGGTTACAATGGAGAATTTTAGGTTATGTGATTTGTTTTATCGCAATAAAAAATAATTGAGAAGAAACACCAGAGACAATGACAACATTCTGAATCCATATTTTGGATAAATCATTTTTTAACCCACAACTTATATACACACTGCACCTTTAAAAATTCCTTTCCTGTTCCACAAACTTCTTTGGTAATTTTTCCAAAAACAAGAGTTTCAGAAATGGATGAAGAAATTAGTCCAAAATTCTAACAAGAAGTCAGTTCAACCAATTTCAATCAAGTTCATAGGACCAGCACATACACAGACTCGAGCCCTATGTTAAGGAATTTACAGGGAATTTGGGCGACACTGTTTCCTGCCAGTTCAGTCACTCCCACATCAACAACGAAGCTGCCCGTGTGCCTCTGTCGAGACAGCCTCATTTTTCTACAGAAATCCACTGAAAACAGTCAGCAAGTGTCTTTTACAAGGCAGTGCAGGGCCTGCAGGCGCTTCCACACTCTTCCCAGCGTACCATGGCTTCCTCTCATTAAATTTAAACACACGTTTGCTTGCAGGCTGGGTGTCACAATGGCTTACTGTAGCTGACAACTTAGTTGTTTGCAACTCAAAACAAATAATGCATTTATAAATAACGGTCTTTCTTGAAAAACCAATTATTGTCCTGAGTCTTACAACAAAATTAAACTGGACTATTAAAGTCACTGAAGAAATCTTAGTCATTCAAACATGCTCACTCCAGTGAGCATTAAAGCAACCTGTGTCAAAAACAAGAAATAGTTCTTTAGAAATTTCTGGAAGACAGCACAATTTAAACTGATTTTCTTTAACAACCTCTCCACCACGCCATATACCACAGTCACTCAAACCATTCTCAGTAACCACTTGGTGCCCAGCTCTGAGCCTGCTGGAGAGAACAAGTTCCAGTGATGCATGACCATGGCAGTTGTGATTAAGATTATCAGAGCGGATTCGTCGCTCGTATAAGTAATTCACATATTTATACCATCATTCAAATTGTAGTGGCTCAAGGCTCTCATTATTTTTAATCCAACTGGAAAACCGATTGTCTCTGGTTGATGGTAGTTATGGATGTATTTGAAAGCCCAATAAGAAACAGGAAATAAGAGAGTAGCTCAACTAACACTTCATTGATTGACCTAAGCAACAGCCATTTACTATCTACTACATACAGAAGATACATAAAGCGGTAATAAGCGATTGCAGCTCTTAAGGAATTTATACACAGTAGAGGATGATCAGAATGACTTACTTTGCCTTTGAAGGAAAGACAGTACAGATTTCCTCAGATCCAAATGGTATACTTCAAACTGGGTGTGAGAGCCAGAAGTCAACTCTGACATCAATGACACATGCATGACATCCCCCTCCTCCTCACTCTCACCCTCTCCACCTCAGGAGTTTCTGGGTTTTGTTTTTAATTAGGAAGTACAATTTGCACAACATCTGACCTAGCCATAAGCCACAGATTATGATCTATCAGGAGATTTTAACACAGTTGCTTTGCATATTGGTAAATCTTTTCAGGTCAACCTTACAAAGTTATTTCATCTCTAGGTACCATTCAATCCAAGGATAGACAATGAGCAAAATTCTACTGAGGGTTCTTAAAACCATTCACCTATCCCTGAGGCCTGCCCACAGTAACTCTCTGCTCTTCCAAGAGGCAATGAATCTGTCCTCTACTGAATACAGTATTTTTTAAGGCACCATTTGGCCATGATCAATGACCCACCATAAACACCAACTGATGTGGTAAAAGGGTACCTATGGTAACAAAATAAAAGGTGAACAGGGGAGTAAACCTGCACAATAACACTCTTGGAGAATGGACCCACTAGGGAACCAAGGAATCAGGGATAGGGAGATTTCCCAAGGATCAGACTGGTCAGCCAACTTAAAAAAAATCAACACTGGGAAAAAGGTCTTACTCTCCTTGAACTCCACCCAAAGACCCCTGAGCACATCCAGGGGTGGAAGCAGTCTAGAGGAAAAATGAAGGGAATGTCTCTTGAGTCTGCCTGCCTGGCTTGCGATCCTGGCTCTACACTTAACAGGAGTGGTAACTTCTCTGTGACTCAGTTTCCCCATCTGCAACTGGAAGAACAGCATCTACCTCATAGAAATAATGGGAAAATAAAATGAAATCACAGTTAAAGAACTTAATACAGTAGCCAGCTCACAACAAATCCTGAGCAAGTACCTGCTCCTGTATCTACTATTTTCAGGGGTTCCCTGAACAACCACCCAGCTCTGAAATTAAAATGTCAACATGACAACAATACTACTGTTTGGGTGGCCCCTAATTATAGGTCCCCAAATATCCCTGTGAGGAAGTGGTATTATTTTCATTTTAAAGTTGAAAAGTAGTTTAGAATGATTCAGAAACTCATCTGGACTTAGTGGTACAGCAATTAAAATCTCTGATCACATCCCAACACAGCTCTCATAGTCACCTACGTCCAAAAGCTTAAAAGTATCTCAGTATTCTAGCCTCACTACTTAGTGGATTAAATTACATTGTAAAATCCCACAGCCTCCTCCCACTAAATCAGCAGAATTATCTATAAAACCAGAACCATCTGACAAATTATGATAAATTGTCAAAAACACAAAAGTCTTTTCTTAACAGAGTAAAATAACAAAAAAATGACTGGGTAAATCATGGGGACCATTTTTAATTAAGTGACTTTAAAAGTTCAAAAGTATTGCAGATGCACAAAATATATTATCAACTCATTTTTCTTTCAGAATTTGTAATTTGATCCTGCAGAAGAATCCACACACTCCAAGTGGCCTGTGTAACATCTCTTTCCATGTGTTTGCTGAGTGTATAACAAAATTGATGAGTTAATAGGTATTCCAAATACCTTCTCCAGCCAGCTCTAACACTATTGAGGAAGACTTACCAGCACTTAACTGCTCTAAAAGAAAACATAATTAAATTTAAACAAATATGTCATGGTAACTGATCTCACAGAATAGCTTTTAAAACTTTCATGCTGAAATTCTGAAAAATGTATAACTGTTCAAACTTATATCTCCAAATAATGACTCAACAGCTTCAAGGACAACTAGAATAGCAGGTCACCTCAGTCAAAATTGTCCCCATTAAATTAGTTGCCCAATTTCCTGAAAATAGAGTTCATAATCACTGCTAATCCATTAGAGTTTAAAACAAAAAGCACACTCAACTTGCGTAAGAAGTAGTGACATGGATAAGCCAAGTCATATAACTTCACTTTCTATTTGCTTTACATAGTCTTGTAATTCCTTCTGGTAAACAAATGAGATGATATAATAAAACATGTAAACTGAAGAAGAAAAGAACCTAAAATGCCTAAATATTTCAAGAATTTATTGCAACTTCAATGACCTGAAACTCCAAGCATCCAAAAGCAGAAAGAATTACCATGCAACTGTAAAAGTCAAATATTTATACAGGTGCCTTAAAAGCCACTGTTTGGTGCACACCATCAGTCCTGACATTTACTATCTGTTAAGTAGTTCCAAAGTGCCATGGCATTAGCCAAATAACGAGCTGAGAGTGTGAAGTTTATGACAACCAAGGCATCTGGAGGGGCTGTGAAGGTGTGATGCGTGTCATACCTTTCATCAACCCAGCAACAGGCAGTCAGACTATGGAAAGATGGGACCTGAGCACAGATGCCTTGTCTCATTTCAGAAGGGAAACCTAAGCCAATACCTTCATGGATAATTTAGCAAGGTTGTTCCATAAATTTATAATGTCATTTATGACTTTCTTATAATTGCTTTTTAATAGCTTTCAAAAACATATTTTTAGCACAACAGTGAGAAACTATTCCAGCTTCAAATTGACAAAAGGGGGAATGTTTAACAGAGAAAGTGCCTAAAAAAGTTATATACCCCCACGGCCACATTCCATAAGAAGCTAGAAAGAATTTTCAGAACTGGTAAGGCTCCAAATGCTGGGCATCACCCTTAATGTGATATTATTATCAAAGTTTACAATTAGGAATACCTGTTTAATGGACAATTTATAAATTCCCAACTAGGAATACCACTTACTATTCTTATAATAACTAATTCTAAGAAATTCTCCTTTAAAGGGTACAAAGAAAGATAGGACAGGCAACACTTGTGAACGCTCAGCTTCTGAACGTGTAAGATGACGGTTCTGTTGATTCTCTTTATCAACAGGAAGGAATGAAACGTGTGGATTAAGAACTAAACAAGATCAGGCTGAGTCCAACTCAGCGTTCCCCAATATCCAAAGTTCTGTTCTCACATTCAGTCCACCAGTTTTTCCTGCAAAACAGAATCTGCCTGTTGAAGATGTGAGAGTAAGTTCAAGTTTTCAGGTGGGAACTAACACTGGGAAGAACTCCAAAAACAAGTGTTTCTAAAATCTACAGGAGCAGGCCAGGTACACCCACGCCCACCCAGGAGTGGGACCCTTTTTCCATCCACGCTCAGGAGGTCGGGCTTGGCTGAGAGCTGCAAAAGCTGCAGTCAAGGCTTAGATGCCAAGGATGGCCGGAGCGATGCCACAGGTGGCCTGCATGGCCAGCTCCTCAGCGTGCACTTAGGCCTCCGGTGGCCCCGAGCCCACCGTGCCTCCCAGGGTGTCCTCCAGCCTCCAAGTGGCGGACTTTAAGTTCCCAACAGGGTTCCGGGACCCCTCTAGGTCGCTCAACTGGACCTGGAATGCCAGCCCAGGGCACCGATCCTGTCCTTCCCTCGGGGTTGGGAGTGTCCAAAACCCCTGGAAGGGCAGGGGGCAGAGGGGCCCCTGAACACGCCGGCCTAAACCGGGGTCCGCGCCCTCCCGGGACCCTTCGGGGTACCCGGGCCCGCGCCTCCCCATGTCCCCCTCGCCGCGGGCGCCGCCGCCCGGCCGGGTCTCCCAGACAACGGCCGCCGCCGCCCTTCCGCGGCGGGTCCACGCGCCCACCGCGGCCCGGCCGCCCACCTGTCCCGGGGGTCGATCCAGCTGGTCCTCCGGGTGTTGTGGTCAATGTAGAAGACCTTGCCGTCGTAATCCCTGGCCTCCTCCCAGCCCCGGGGTAGCGGCAGCTGCCCGCTCCCGGCCCTCCTAGGCATGGTCGGCGGCCTCGCCGGCGAGCGGCGCCTCCATAGGGACCGGGCGCGGGACGCGGCGGGAATGCGACTGTCCGCGCGGCCGCCGCACCCGACGCGGCCGCCGGCGAGGGGCTGCGGGGCGCGGGCGCGGCGGGGCCACGCGCGGGGGGCGCCTCAGGAAACCCTGCTCTCGGCCCCGCTGGGGATCAGTCCACCATGTCTGCGTCGGAACAGGCGAGCGAACCCTCCGCCTCCTCGCCGCCGCCGCTGCCTCCGCCTCTTCCTCCGCCTCCGCCTCCTCCTCTTCTCCGTCCCCCTGTGGCGCGGAGGGTCGCGGCGCCCAGGCCGCCCGAGCCGACGCCGTCTGGGCTCGGATCCGGGAAGCTCCGCCGAGGAGCAGCAGCGCGGCGGCGGCGGGCCTCCTCATTTGCATGCTATTAGCATGCGCCCCGCCCCGCCCCTCCCCGCGCTCGGCTCATTTGCATGCACATTCCTCGCCGCCACATTCCTGGGTTTAACCCTGCGGCTCCCGGTCGCTGGCGGCTCGGGGCTGGACGCCGGGCCAAGCCCCGGGCGGGGGAGGGGAACCGCGGGACCAGGTGGGAGGGAACCGGGCGAAGGAATGCGCCCCTCACTCCCTCCGCTGGACCCCAAAAAGCTCCCGATGGCCCACCCCTTTGAGTTTTTCAGAGTTCGGGACGGGAAAGATTGCCAAGGAGGAGTCGCCGCAAGCTTCTCTTTCCGTCTTCTAGGGAAACCACAAGACTTTCGAGAGGAAAAGGGTGGGGGATGCTGTCCTAGGAAGAAGTCCCAGCAAACAGCCAGGGCACAAAGACTCCCCCGTGCGGTGCCCCCACTTTCGGATCCCCGGGGAGCGGTGGGAAAGTGTGACAAGGCCGAAAATGCTGGACGCGTGTCCGTGGCGTGTCCAGGGCGGCGTCCCCCCCGGGGCCTCGGCAGGGCGCCTGGCCCTCGATGACCTCAGCGGAGACCGCGGGCCTCGCGGCGGAAAGCGAAGGCGGGTCCCGCGATCCGAGTGCGCCGCGGCACGCCTGCCCCGGTGGCCCGCGGGGGACTCCGGCCTGATCCTGAGAGGCGACAAGGCCACCCACCCCCTCGACCGTCGCCGCCGCCTGCCACGCGCGGGCCGGGGGCGCGGAGTCATTCGCGCCTTGCCCGCCGCGTCGGGGCGCTCAGCGCGCTAGGGCCCGGAGGCCACCGAGGCTCTTAACCCTGGCTTCCCCTGCAGGGTTTAGGGCAGTGGGACGTGGACGACTTCCAATACCCAGTCCCTTCCGTCCAGCCGCCCGCCCCGGGAAGTTCCCCACCTCGAGCCCAGACACGGCCAAGAAAGTGTGGGCGATCAGGCTGGAGGGAGCCCAAGGCCAGCCTTTCCTTGGCTCAGGGTCCACCCGTGGTGGGACACAGCATTTATTTATTCAGCAGCTTTTACGTGCTGGTCGGCACTGAGCAGGGGCCGGACGTGGCACTCGGGATAGGACCAAGCCGGGAGCCTTAAGTGTCCCCAGGCCTCTCAATCTGGGAGGGAGCCTCCCAGCCTGGTCTACGCCATCATCCCCCATTAGTCTTCCGGGTTCCTAAACCGACTCTTTTAAATTGTCTACACCCTCGGAAGGAAGGCTCTGAAGCCCAGTCTTTCACCCTGTGTTGTGAATTCGCTTAATCCCGCCTGCTAATGGTAACGTATTCGCGCCAGGTGTAGGACTCAGCGGACCGAACTTCACTATTGTGCAGAGTTTGGGTAGCACCTGCCCGCCTGAGAAGGAGAACTGAGACAGGGACCTCGATTAGTCTTAAAAGGTATAGGAGATGGCCCTAGACAGTTAAGGACTGAGGCTCAAGGTTGGAACAAACTTCCCCAAGGGGACTGGGCTTGCCTTCTCTGGAAGGGGGTCATAGGAGGGAGAAAGCAGATTATATTTGGAGGGGAAGCCAAAATTTTAAACCTTAAGAAAGTGTGGCTGGAGGCCGGTGGCTCATGCCTGTAAGCCTAGCTACTCAGGAGGCAGAGATAGGAGGATTTCGGTTCCAAGCCAACCCAGTCAAAAAGTTCTTGAGACCCTATCTCGAAAAAAAAACCATCACAAAAAAAGGGGCTGGTGGAATGGCCCAAGGTGTAGGCCCCTAGTTCAAACCCCAACACCACAAGGAAAAAAAAAAAGGTCTGGAGTGAGGGGGAGGTGGCAAAGAGAGGCACCCAAGAGGTCCCCATCTTTCTAGGTCTTTCTCCTTTATGCCAAGTAAGCCAGACTTTGTGCTTAGTAAAGAGAAGCCACAACCTCCAACCTGTGTTCTGCCCCATCCCCTTAATCAGAAGATCTGACAAGGTCCTAGTCCTTCCCCAGGGAGTGAGACAGCTTGGTGGGTAGTGAGACAGCTTGGTGGGTAGTCTTGAAGCCTGGGGGAAAGGTAGGGCCTGACTAAAATTACTGTCTCACTTCTGAGTAACTGTGCTTTGGTTAGGACTACTCTAACATGATCCATTTACATGGCCAAAATTTGCAGTGTGATATACCAATAATGCCAATCAGCAACCAAACCAAACAATTCTTTCTTTCTTTTCTTTTCTTTTTTTTTGGTGATACTGGGTTTTGAACTCAGTGCCTACACCTTGAGCCACTCCACCAGCCTTTTTTTGTGATGGTTTTTTTTTCCAGATAGGTTCTCAGGAACTATTTGCCTGGGCTGGCTTGGAACTAGTATCCTTCTGATCTCTGCCTCCTGAATAGCTAGTATTACAGGTGTGAGCCAGGGGCCTGGCACCCAAACCATTCTCATTTGAACTTTGTTTCCTGGCTTCACACACACACACACACACACACAAAATCAAAAACATTTATTATACTAATGTCAACATACTAATAAAAATAAAGTAACACAGTTTGCTGTTGTCACAACTTGTTTCACTTGAATGAAGTACTACATAGTTCTCAGTATAATTTCAAATTTGATAGGCTTTCAGCTAAATATTATTTGTCAAATTCTAAAACCAATGAAGAATCCAAAATAGCTCACAGTATAAATTGCATTTCTTGTTCCATAAATCTTCAGACTTCAAAAGATACACTAAATAGACTAACAAAACTCTAAAGCAAGGAAGAGACAGCTCACTTCTCTCCTGCTGATAGGCGCAGGGAACATTTGGTCATACAAAAGCAGTTAAAAGAATGGGAAAGAGAATTGCTGCTCTACCGGCTTTTTTGTTTTGATCAAGTTTGAGCTCTACTGTTCTGAGTTCACATGATCTACTCAGGAACATCCCTTCGGAGAACTCCTAAGGGTTAGACAATGCAATTTCATTTGTACTCATATCTGTAGAATAAAAATGGATGCCCAGTTAGAGATGGATGCATTTAGATTTGATTTGGGCTGCAGATCATCCTGGGTAAAGAAAGATTATGCAACCTGCTATTTATAGTGCAGCACACCACTTCATGACCACTGAAGAGTCTATTCACTACCCTCAAAATTTCCTTTCCTCCTGCCTTTCTATTGTCTTGGGTGCTAACAGTCTGTTGGAATGAGTTGCCATAAACAAAGTCCCCATGAGCAATGGTCCACTCATGACTTGCAGGAAAAATAGTGAAATCAAAACTGGAAGCAGACAGTAAAATATGTTTTACATATTTCCAAAGACCATTTCATTACATCCAAATTTAAAATATTTGTGCTTTTAATCCAGTAATCCCAGTGCAATGATTTTTGCCTGTGGGCACTAAAAATTACTCCGGTTATTGCAAAGATGATCATTGCAGTGCGGTTGATAATAACAAAACTGATAAAAACCACCATGACCATCAGTGAGGGGTTCATTAAATGAAGCATAAATTAGTCATACTCAGCAAGCATTTTAAAAGCATTGGATATGTACATATGTACAAATAAGGAAAGATACTCATGATATAGTAAGTAAAAGAAAGTGTAGCCAGGCACGGGTGACTCACATCTGTAATTCTAGCTACTTGGGTGGCTGAGATCAGTAAGACCACAGTTCAAGGCCAGCCCTGGCAAATAGTTTGAAAGACCAAATCTCCAAAATGGACTGGCAGTGTGGCTCAAGCAGTAGAGTGGCTGCTCTGCAAGTGGGAACCTCCGAGTTCAAACCCCATTCCCACCCAAAAAAAAAAAAAGCGGAGGGCCAAAAAGACACTTGCTGACTAACTTCATTGGAGTTACAATCTAATTCTGCAATGAGGGTCAATCATAAAATGAAAAGAATGGTACAGTCTCATATACATTAGCTCCACATCAAAGGAACGGCACAGATAGTAAGAAAGGGAAGTTTCTACAGAGGATGGGGGCTGTCAGGGAGGTCCCATCAAGGAAGTATGCATGAGGTGAATGATCATTAGGAAAAAGGATGGGGTAGAGGTGAACACAGATTGATACCAAAACGGACAGGCACAGCAGGGCATGTTTATTGAAAGAAAAAGATGTGTGAAGTTCAAAGATGAATTTGGCAGGAAAGGACCCAAGACTGGCTGGAGCCGTGTAGGTAAGGAGGCTGTAGTGGTAGTGTAGGTACAAGATAGATAAGGGCTGGGATTGGAAATAAGGCAATGGAAGATGAAAAGGAATGATGGAGCAAGAATTTGAGACTGATTAGATTAAGAAGAGAGAGGTAAATAGACGAGGAGGAGGAAACTGGGATGAGTCCAAGATTTTAGGCTGTTGGAAGAGACTCAGAACTTTTTGGAAAAAAAAGAGAGGAAATCAAAAGGGGGATCTGATACAGGGTTTGATTTCAGAAATTACAGTTACCCAGCAGAAAATTAAAGGTCAGGATTAAAGCTCCAACAGAAAGTCAGGACTGCAATATGTATTAGATGTTACACCCTGGAAATTCACATTGAGCCGAGGCTTCAGGACCAAATCTTGGGAAGGAAATATCAGTGTGAGTGCTGTAGAATTAAGTGACCCATCTATAATCCTGGTTTTGGCCTATAATAACTCCTGGGTAACATGGTATGATTTTATTTATTTTTTTATGGTCTCTATTTTCAGTGATGTGTGTAAGAATTAGTTGCTAGTGTGGAAACCAACTTTGAATGAATTATTGTTATACTGTGAATCAACTCTGTGTAGGACAAGATGAACTGGTTTTCAATATTTTAATATCTCGTTTTCTCAAGGAGATCAGGGATTATATAAACCAGAAATTCTAAATAAAGACAACATTCTTTTTCCTGAATCAAACTTGGGCTTTTTTTTTTTTTTTTTTGGCTCTTCTGCAACCAAACAGGTTAAAATAAAAGTCTCTAATTA